CTTGTCTCTATAGCTTTCCGACACTCGTTGACCATCGCAATACGGAAATCGGTCACCTCAGGGTCCCGTGAGCTCTCGAATTCCTTGACCTGTCGTCCGATAAGCCAACTGATCTGTGTGCTCATCTTCTTCTCCTCTTCGTTCCCCTTCCTCTCCATCACCTTGAAGAGAGGCTTGTAAAGGTCCAGGTCACAGAGACGCAGGGTTTCATCAAAGCACTCCTCTTGCTCTGCCTTCCGATTAACAAACATGAATACATACCAGCCATGTTGTCTCAATGTACTGAAGAGTGGGTACTTGGATGCTTCATACCAGAGCCTCTCTTTAATATCGGCTACTGTCTGACTCCCTGAACAATGGAATGGGACTAGTATACCAGTGGGAAGGAGGAAATCAACTTCTATTGAAGCATTAGGGTCACTCATGGTGGAGTCTTGACGAACGTAAGAGTTGACTGGGACGGGAAGAGAAGACATCTTGTTTTTTCAGCCTTCAATGAATGTTGTATGACTTCTTGTGGTGTCTTATAAACTCATCACAGTAACAAGCTTCTTTTCTAACTGATGATGGTTCCTCTCCCTTGCTTCTATCTTCTGTTCTTCAAGTTCTTTGCTTGTGTAGACTGTAAACACTTTCCACTCAGCCAGTATCCGACTCAGTATTGCTCCGCCCACCAGAAGAAATACGGAGGAGACACTTTGTATACTTTATCCATGTGCAACCACATGTCTATAAAAACACTGAGTGGGCGTTAAAGCTGCGCATGCGCAAATCATGTCCCCGGTACCCAGACCAGGCAACCCCGCCTTATAAAAATGGCAACTTGGAACCTTAAGTGAGTTCAGAATTGAAACCATTAGATCTTATTTATTTTGACCCGCAGATTGAATCTACTCTAAAACTTTAGTCTGGTGACCAAATCACAACTGCTAAAAAGAATCATTTTTGGTATGTACCTGTATTATTAATTCATAATTTTCAATGATGAATCTTATGTAGAAGGTTGATAGCAAAGAGTTCATCAATCATGCAGACCACATCATCTGAAGGAAACACAAGCTCTACTACTTTGGTAGGTGAATACTTTTATATACCAGTTTGTGCTAAGTATAGTTATAAATATTTAAGTACTGTATAGTGGGAAATTTTGGAGGGAGTTAATTTTTAAATTTTTGTGATGACGAATTTGTGGCCACGTGCCATTGAGAATGTGAATAATGGTTAAAAATGGTGGATTTTTAATTTGGTGAATGGCTATCAAAATGCCAAATTCAACTGTGTCCAAAATTTTCCGCTATAATAGTTTAGACCCCCTAGGCGCTAAGACTATTTTGAATGAATTATTTACGGTAGCCACCCATGATTAAAATTACTGACGGCAAGAAGCTCTCCACATCAAAAAGACAGATCAAAGCCCAAGGTGCCGAAATGAAGCATAGCAAGAAAACTATGTTGCAGCAACAGTTACCTGGTCTATATGATGTAGTCTGGCCTCCATACTTTCCATAAATGCTGCTTGTATAAGCCTGTAGTACCTTGTGGTGCTCAGAAAAATGGCCACGCGGTGCCACCATCTTTGATTTTTTTTTGATCTCGAGGCCTTCTTGCTGTCAGTAATTTACTTCGTGGGTGGATACTGTATAGGAAAATTTTATTTATTATAAATGAATATCATTATTGTAATCATATTCATTGAAAATAATCTTAGCGCCTAGGGGGTCTATTATTCAGTAAATAAAGTAAAATTTTCTACCACCTAGTTTCCAATGGTTTTCTAATGTCTATGGAGCAATTGTGAAAAGAGATTATTCTCTAAAAACCGCTGTACATCTGTTTGTTCATGATAGCAACCTTGCTATAAAAAACCGATTACTAACCATTATCCAGTGTCTGCAGCTGTCTCATGGCCTTTAATAAGTGCTGTTAGGAAGTACATGTGTAAAAGCAAAAATATTGCTTTCTTCCAATGTACAACGTACTTTGACTCCAAAATGGTGGCAGGAAAATTTCTCTTTATTTACAGCATCACAATGAGTATGCTTAAAATTCTATGAACATACATGTACTTAGTGCAAACTTGTCTATATACAGTGAATTATGCATACACAATACACATGTATAGTCCTATTTCATTGTGTGTACATGTACATGTATAGATGATAGCCTACATGTACGTTATACATGTATTTGTTAGATTGCCACTTGTTTTTAAGATGGCTGCAATTTTTATATTTTTGAATACTTATAGACCAGCTATGTTAATTTTATTATAGCCTTTAAAATGGCTTAGATAAGCTCTCCTTCACTAAGCATTAGCCATTCTTAATTTTTGTTTTATATACATTTACATACCTTAAAGTGGACTGGATTGTAGTAAAAAAACACTTTTATAGAATAGGCTTAAAATTTAAATTTTTCTGAACTCTTCAATCAGTTACCATATATGGTTTTGTATGTAATGATGGTTTTCCAAAATTTGCATTTGTCATAAATTTGAAAATTGAAATTTGCAAAGATGTAGCAAATGTGATAAATATGCCTGCATGAGGTGTTATTTTGCAAAAATTTACGGCACAATCAAATCTGGACGTATTAATTTATGAAATTTTATTCCCATGAAATTTATGTATAATAATTATGGTAGTCTTGATGTGTACACACCTTTTTATTTTACACTGTAAAAATGGTAGCAGTTTTTACTCATAAATGACACTCTCATTTAAGTTTTGCACTTTTGCTGATTGTGTAACCTATTATAATTCATTACTTGTCGATCTACTGTATAAATAGCCTGTCTTTTATTTTTTGTTTATTATAGAATGATAGAAATAGATCATTTCAGAAAGAAGATAGTGTTCAGTTATTATCACAAGGAGCTGAAGAAATGGTACATACTGTTTGTTTTACATGTATGTTAGCTAATGATTCATTGTAGAATGAGGAGTTGTATGAAGCTGCTAAAAGAGGTGATTCTACTGGTGTCCAGTCTGCACTGTCTCAAGGAGCTAAAGTGAACTATCAGTATCCTAAAGAGGTAACTACAGCTTGGGTGTTTCTGATTGAATGCATTATGCACACATTCTTTGATGTAGTAATATAATCCATGCAATGACTTTTAGGATGATTATTTTTCTTGATTCCTAAAGTTAATCTTTTGAGCAAGCTGAGACGGTTTGTAACATATGGCAACAACAGTTTTCCAATTAATACAACTCATTACAACCTTTTTGCGTGCGTACAAAACAAGCTTGATCATGCATGTACATGTGTATATCTGTAACAAATTCTTCTGGCTCACAAATTTAGTTTCTCCCTTTGTTTTTTCTTCCTGAAAAGCTGCCTCTGCTGGCACAGGCATTGTTTGTCTCTTGTTGAATTTTTCTCATTCTCTTGCTAACATCACGATCAGCGGCCTGTTACATACATGTAAGTAGCCTACTTGCTGAAGGTGAGCCCTTGTCCAGAACCTTTGATGTGCGTCATCGTGACATAAGCAATGTACATGTACATGTATTAACGGCCAGTTTGTTTTGCATCTATTTACAGTCACCTCCCATTTGGGCACATGACCCTCTGGATTGGTGACCTTCAATTACATGCATCACTCCTAGCCATGTTACAATAATAATAAAGTTGTCATGACTCATGAAGTAGTAATAGTACGCAACAATTGATAAATGCAGCGAACGTTATATTGTATTGAAACCAAATTGTTGCTTTATTTTGACTGTGTAACATTAATTTTACATCCACTTTAAATGGAAACTATCAATATTTTTTTAGGAAGTTGAAAGCATTGTAGCCCGGAGGACGGTGGACGGGAAGAATGAATATTTAGTAAAATGGAAATATCACACAGGGGCAATGTGGACAAAGCTCCATAATTTGCAATGTTTGGAGGCTATTCTTAATTTTGAATGTTTTGGGGAGAGGTCTATAGCTAGTAATGAGCTCAAAGCTTGCAAGGTTACAACTGACAGTCAAGTGTTTATAGAATGGTAAGCATGACCCTGCTGCATTATAAATTAAGCTTTTACATTTGTATTTGTGATAATAGGAATAATCCCATTAGCAGTCACTTGCTAAAGCTACCAGTAGATGTTGTAGAGAGGGTTGGTTCGTTACTTGAGGTTTGTTTATGTTTCATTATTCCTAGTTCGTGTACATGTATTTTATAGGAAGAAGTGTCTATAAGGGTGGGAAATTATGATGTTAGGCCCAGTGGTCCTCACCCACCTGACCTGCTAGAATTGCTTTGTGGGTTTAGAGACCTTCGGCATATGCAAGGCTGTTTAAAACCAGTCGAATTAGAAATGAAGTATGCCTGTTTCTCAATCTCTTATAATATCATAACATTAATTTTAGGTGCAATACTACTGATTCCGATATAACATTCAAATATTTTATTAAGGCACTGCAGCACTTTGCAGTTGAGAAGTGTATCTATAATAACTGCGAAGTTACATTGTACTCAAAAGTTGAGCCAATACTCTGGATGGCCACTAAGGATATGCCAGGTTATTGCATGAAAACTGTCCATCTAGTACTAGGCTAAAGCTAAGACCAGCTAGGGTTGGGGTCAATTACTTGAGACTTACATTTTTGTAAGTTTCGATCTACTTCAAGCACTAATAATTCAGTGCTTTGAATTTGATTATAACAATAAACATAAATGTAAGTAGTAATGCTAGTACTGGCACTTAAAGCACTTATCAATTTTATGCATTTTAAAGCAACTTAAGCCTTAAATAGTTGATGACAGTTGCATATTCTAGTCTCACTAGCCAGACCAGTCTCTAACCTTTAGTCTGAAGCCAAATTTCATCAATATT